TGACACCAGGGATATCTTTCTCCTTATCTCTTCTTTGGCATCAATGATCTCTTCCCTCTCCCTTCATTGGTGCCCTCTTCATCTTTTCTTTGTGCCTCAGTCTCTTCTTCCCCTTCTCTTTCATCCCATCACTAATCTCTCATATGGCAAATCAATTAGGTTAGGTTCATTGCATGAGAACCTAGATTTGCCCACCAATATCCTACGGACTGATGATGTTGCTGTGAAACTAAAGTCTCCACTCTTCTACAGTTAGATTAGTTTGTGTGCTGTCTTGCTTGATTTTGTGGCCAAAATTCTCCTTTTAGCCGCTAAATGTTGGGAGAAGAATTATTGTTTTAATTGTAGTTTTGGTGGCTAGAACTATAGTTTGAGAATGTATATATGTTTCTTGATGTGTTTTGAAAGGTTGAATTTGATTTTGGGTGTGGAGGGTGTGGAGACTATTGGGGAGTCTATTGGGCCAGCTTAGAAGTGCACATGTGAAAGAGAACAAACATATATGAGGAGAAGGAGAGAAGGAGATTCCACAAAATGAGAGTAGGAGATGTTGGAGAAGGGAGGGATGAGAGAAGATTAATTAAGCATGGGCCCCAATGTGTTTAACTTAATTTACTAAGAAAGCTATGATAATTGCAAATTAAAAATTGATAATAGTGTAGGACAAGTCGTTCTCTTAAAATTTTTTTGGAGAACTTATCTGAAAACATATTTTCTAATTAATATTTTTAAAAATAGATTATTAAATTGAAAGTTTTATTCATGCAGATTATGTATGTTAATTTTCATATTGATATAACACTATAACCTCTTGGTCAAATAAACTCTATTTACTAACATATATTTAATGGTATTAAATTTCTTATAATCAACGAAATGATTAGATCTATTAAAATAATTTAAAATTCACTATGCATAATCTACATAAATAAAATTTTTAATCTAATAGTTGGGTTTTAAAAATATTAATTAGAAGATAAATTTTTAAACATATCCTTAAAAAAATTTAAGCGAATGACCTACAAAACCTTTTTTTCCTTAGAAAAAAAATTAAGGTAAGATAATAATTACCACTAGAAAACCCACAATTTTAAGGTGAGTGAGTCCTACTATATTTAAATTATTTATTAAATAATTACTATCAAAATTTAAAAGGAAAGTCTTATGTGGAAATGAAAATTATTCATATTGGTAATAAAATAAGGTTTTTAATATATATTGTAAGAATACAAATTAAAAGTATAATAAATACATATTTTTATCATTAATTTGTGTTAAGAAAATAAAAATTGATATTTAATTTATTCACTATTCAATTAAATTTATATATCTAACAATAATATTAAAATTAATGTCAATTTTTATATTTTTTAATAACATTTATGACGAAAAAATGTTGTTAATCTAAACTCATAGGGCACAAATTAAAAAAAAACTCATAAATAATTTCACAATTTTCATGTAATATTTTAATTTTAAAATTTTGTATTTTAAGATCACGTAACTGTCCACTTTAGCATCAGAAAATTAAAGTTTAGGGATAATGTTGATCATTTCGAAGTTTGGGAAGTAACTTGGACAAAAACTTAAAGTTGAGGGACTAAATGATCATTTAACCAAATGAGAGGCGAAGTCTAGATGCAGGAAGAGTCAATCCCTTAAAAAAAAAGTCAAGTCAAGAACATATTATAAAGTCTAGTATAAAAAGATTGCCGGTTGTTGCAGGAGCAAATTCGACCTTTGCTTTTTTGAACTAAATTTCAGCCACTCGATATGCATTATTAAGAAAGTAAAGTTTGCTTCCCTCAAAAAAAAAAAAAAAGAAGGTGGGGAAGAAGAAGAAAGTAAAGTTTGCTATGTGTCATGATCATGTCTGCCACTGCTACTCGCCTTTTGTAGTTGGGTCAACCAAAGTCCAACAAAATATCCTAATAACTAATAATATGATTAATCAAAATTAATTATCATTTTTTCTCTGTGGGACTTAGGAGTTAGGAGGTAGCATATTTACTAGTATATCTTCAGTCAACTTGGAGGAATTAGCAGGAAGCTGTCAATAAAATTAAAAAACAAGGGAAGATCCAAAAAACTGAAGTCGTATTCAAATCTTACTCTTCCGAGGGCATGGGTCATAGACATCTTTCTTTACCCTTACTTTGGCAGAGAAGGGGGCGTCAGGGAGAATATGAGTATTCATTGTTTTAAAATGTAGTGAGTAGACTTTTGCTGAACTGGAAAGATGGTTACAATCAGTGTTGTTAAAATCATGATTTAAATCATAAAATTATACAATTTTATGATTTTAAGTAAGTATTTTGAGTAAAATTTATGTTAAAATTAAAATTTTGTGAAATTGGAGGTTAAAATCGTAAAATCGTGATTTTACTATGAAATTAGATAAAATCTTGATTTTACCCTCAGTTGAAGTAGCTGGACCATTTCCTCTTGGGCATCCATCTTGGGTTAATGGGCTTTGACCAACAGCCCTTAAATTAAACCCATTTCTTATTTTAAAAGCCCACAACCCTCAACCCAACAACAATTGCAATTTGCTTCTAGAAATCGGGAGTTTGGGATTAATTTGATCTGAATCTTTGATCTTCTTTAGTCTTCCTTCACTCTTCACTTAGGGTTCACCGCAGGAGAAGGGGAGATTAGATCGAACTGCCGCTACTCTCATCACTCACTGGTCCCTGCCGCTGCTCATCACTCACTGGCCACTTTTGCTGCTTATCACTCACTGTCACTGCCACTGCCGCTACTCACTGCTCAGTGCTGCTCACTGCTCAGGGGCTTGCTGGAGTTGCTGCTGCTCATTGCTCAGGCTCTTCCCGAAGTTACTGCTGCTCACTGTGTGCTCAGGCCCTTGCTGCCTTGCTACTGCTCACTGCTCAGGCCCTTGCTGCCTTCAAAATATTCAGCATCTTGATTATTTGGATCATATCTTGTTTAGAATCTCCACCAACTTCTTTTTTATCTCTTTTGGCAAGAAAGTTAGTATTTATCATTTTTAATTTCTAATTTAAATGTTTAACTAATGATTTATGTTAAATTTATTTATTTATTTGTGTTATTGGATATTTAGATTTTAATTAGTTAATTTTAAGTTTTTAACTCTAAATTTGATTTATTGTTGTTTAATTTTAATTTTATATAATTTATTATATACTGTATATTAAATTTAATAAATTCTAAATTATACCGAATTGATTTTACGATATTTAATCAAAATGATTTTAAGTAAACTTTCAATTTTGATAACCTTAGTTACAATATTTTGTGTTCACAATTTCACCGTTCATGCTAATTCAGAGGATAGGCCAATTACCCAAGTGTAATTGCACCAAACCAAAAGTCCTTCTTCAATCCGCGCTTGTATTTCGGGATGACCTGCAAAGCCCTGAGGTGAAACTCGGGGTAGACACTCCGATGCTTAAGTCAGCAATAATCAGGGCTACCTTTAGGGCGGAGATAAAAAGAGCTTAAGGTTGGTTTCAATTACCTTTCTGAGGTGGCCCTTGAGGGGTATTTATATGTTCCAATGGAGAACCCGTGTTGGCCTGCCAAGCGAGATACTCGAGACCGGGAATTTGAGACATATTCAGGTGTGGG